CGCCCTCTCGGCAGCAGCCGTCCCCAGTACAGCAGCGGTACCGACAGTACCCAGGCAGGGTGGCTGGCTGCACGCCGCACTGCTGGCAGCTTGTGGGACGGCTCGCGGCCGGGGCCCGGCGGGCTTGCCTGGCGAGCTGCCTGTGCCGCCAGCTGCGTTCCGCAGGCTCTGCAGTGCTCGCAGGTCCAGGACGGGATACAGTGGCTGGCGCCCACGGCTGTCCACCCACGACGAGCCTGCTGCCTTGCTGGTGGGCTGCGGGGCGCTGCCGCTGCGGCTTGGGCTGCCGCTGCGCCTGCCAGGCAGGCTGCCTCCGCGGGGTGCAGCAGTGGTGGGTGAGCTGATGGGGGGATGGTCCACTTCGCCGCTGCTGCCGCAGCCCTGCAGCAGCGGGTGGGCCGGCATCGGCGGCAGAGCGGACCGGCCTTCGGCCGCCCTGAAGCTCCTGCTGTTCCCACCCGGCGACTGGCATGCTGGTGCTGCATCATGCATGGCTCCTGCTGTGCTGCACTGTGTGGGCTGCGGAACACGGCTGCGCACACCTCCGTCCAGCTCGACCTCCAGCCGCAGCTGCCCAAGGCTGGTGTGTCCAGGAGGTGCGGCAGCTGCTGCCGGGATGCGAGGAGACACTGCTGGCTCCGTGTCAGCAGCAAATCGGACCGTCTTCTTCCCCGGCTGCCTGTCCCGCTCGCCTTGCTGCCCCTGTGTCAGCAGCGACAGTTGTGGGGGCAGCTGCCGGTGTGCACCTTCGACCTGGTCCGAGCAGTGCTCAGTGACGTGAGCGACAGGGTGCCACTGTGCCGGCTGCTGTGAGGCACCGCCACCAGGCACCTCCACACCTAGCAGGCTGCCATCCTCCAGCACAGCCAGCACCTCGCTGCCGCCGCCACCCGCGTTCCAGTGCAGCATGGCTGGCGTCTGCGGCAGCGCCTGGCGGCACAGCAGCTGGCCGGCGGCAGCAGAGAACACAGCCGCTGACGGCCCAGCTGCGCCAGCCGTTGCGACAGCAGCCCTGGCGCCGTCAGGGGAAAAGCTCAACGCCAGCACGGCCGCCGGCAGCGAGGGCGCGGGCAGCAGCGCCTGCTGCGCAAACCCGCAGCTGCTGTGGCGCCACAGCTGGGTGCTACCGTCGGAGCAACCCACGGCCAGCAGCGCGCCTGCCGCCGCCAGTACGGTCACTCCCCTGCTGCTGCCGGCATCCAGCTCGCCAGTCAGCTGCAGGCCGCCCTCGGCGCTGCAGCTCCACACATGCAGCGCACTGCTGCCTGACTGGGCGGTGGCTACGGCAGCCGCGCCTGCAGTCCCAAAGTCTCCATGCAGCCAGCAGGCGGCGACAATGCTGCTGCCGGTGAGGCCTTCGCTGCCACCCTGCACCGCCGCCACCTGCGAGCCGTTGCCCAGGCCCCACACAGCCAGGCCTCCCGCTGCATCCCCCGACAGGGCCAGGCTGCTGCAGGGGCTGATGGCAATGCTGGTGATGGGGGCTGAGTGGCTGCCCAGCTGGAAAATTTGTGCTGCCTGCCCGGGTCCCAGCGACTGCGGGGGCTGGCAGAAGAGCAGGCGGCCGCTTCCGCGCTGCGCAAACAGCATGCCGCCGCCGTCTGGCAGCAGGCCCAGCGCCGCCCACGGCTGGCTCAGCTGCTGCGATGGCTGGTCGGGGGCCAGGAGGGCGACTGCATAGGTAGCGCTGCCGCTGCCGCTGCCGCTGCCGCTGCTGGTGAAGCCAGGGGTGCTGGTGCCGCCAGTGTGCAGCGGGAGCAAGCGGAGCAGGCCGTCAGCGGTGCAAGCGACAGCAGCAGCAGCAGCAGCGGTGGGGCTCATTTGCTGGGGCTCATTTGCTGTTTCGGCCCTGCAGCAGCACAGAGGACAGGGTATGAATCCATGAGTCTTCATGACCGTGGACGTGCGGCAGCATGGGCACAGCCGTTCATCAGTCGCCCACACTCACGCTGCAAGGACGAGATGGGCACGGGGCGCCGGCGCCGCCACTGGCACCAGCTGGAGGTGCGCCATTGCAGCTGCTGGCGCCGAGGAAGCAGCCGGCGGTGTTTGTGGGCTCCGCTGGTGAGGCACACAGGCCAGCTGAGGCGCAGCGGGGCCAGCCTAGTCAGTCAAACTCCAGGACGCGCTGCCTGGGCGGCGCGCTGCATTGGGCATCTACGATCGGCTGCTGAGAGTGCACCGACAGCGCGAATTGGCTGTCGCCAGTGGCCCGTGCTGCGTGCTGGGTGCACCCCCTGGCAGGAAGCTCCTTCAGATGCCCCTCCAACGCGCATTGCCAACTGTCCTTGCCGAGCCAACATCAGCCGGCTGCAGCATGGTGACCACCAGGGGTGCAGCGGCGAATGGCGGGTCAGAAATCGCCCGTGTGCCCCTGTTTCGCATTTCCAGCAAGGTGCGTGCTGTGAGCAGTGTACCGACGCGATAACTGGAACGCCACGGTTTCAGCAGCCCTCCGATCGGCACAATTCTCGGGGATGGCCTCTCCTGCTGCGCTGCTGGGCTTTGGGCGGCCTGTTAGCTGCGTGTTCCGCAAGGGAATCCATTGGATGCGCTGCCGCCGCCCTGACCCGGCCGCGCCATGTACCGCCGCCACTTCGCCACCGCACTGCTCCATTTGCACGTTGCATCCCCTCCTCCAACCTCGCAGGAGTCTCTGGACTCCCCCATCGACCGAAGATCGGACTACTACAGGCAGCAGGCGCTGCTGCAGACGCTGAAAGAGCAGGTGGGCCGCCCTGGGGGGGTGTTTGCAGCTGCATGTTCCGCCTGGGGCATTGCGCTGCTTCTTGCTGGGGAGACAAGCACCCGACCACAGCCGCCGACTCCCCCCTCCTCGCCCTCTGCTGCCAACCCCACGCAGGGCAAGCTCAAGCCGCAGCCGCTGCTCACGCCGCCCAACGTGCTCACCTTTGCGCGGGTGGCGCTGGTGCCGCTCTTCATGCTGCTGTGGCACGCCGCCCACCAGTACGCCTCCATAGCCACCGCCGCCGTCTTCATCGCCGCCTCCATCACAGACTGGCTGGACGGCTACCTGGCGCGGCGGGTGGGCCCACAAGGGGGTGGCGGGCGCATGTTGACAGCTTGCGTGTTGTGGCGGTGCAGCTCGGGTTCAGGCGGAGGATCCATGCCCGGGCAAGCCGCTCGCCCAACTTCCCTCCAGGCCAGCAGCGCACGAATCGCTGCCACCCACCGCCGCCGCCGCTGCCCGCCCGCAGATGAAGGTGACCTCCGCCTTTGGCGCCTTTCTGGACCCTGTGGCAGACAAGATCATGTGAGGCTGGGGAGCTGCCCTGCCCCGCCCTGCCCTGCCCTGCCCTGCCCCGCCCTGCCCAGCCCTGCATGTTGGATGTCTTCGTGTGCTCAGGGGCGCCCAGGCCGAGCAGCGGCAGCAGCAGGGCAAGGCAGTCGCCTCCCGATTCCGTGTGGGGCGCAGCTGCCCTGCCGCCAACCTTCCACCAAGCCCTGTCCTCTGCGTTTGGCTCGGCCACCCGTGCTCCTCCTGCGCCGCTGGCCCTGCCCGTGCACCTCAACCCCACTCCACCCACCCACCCATCCCTCCACCCATCCCTCGCCCGCCAGGGTGTCCACGGCGCTGGTGCTGCTGGCCACGGTGCCTCCCGCGCCCATCACCACGCTGGGCATGGCGGTGCCGGTGTGCCTGGTCATCTCCCGGGAGATCACGATGAGCGCGCTGCGCGAGTGGGCCGCCGCCTCGGGCGGCGGCGCGCACAAGGCGGTCAAGGCGCGTGCGGTTTGGAGTGTTGTTGTTCTTGTTGTTGGTTGTGGTGTGTGTGTGTGTGTGTGTGTGTGAGAGAGAGAGAGAGAGTGTGTGTGAGTGTGGCTGGCTGGCATGCGGCTTCGGGCCTGATGGGTGGAGGTGTGGACAGCGTGCCGCCGGCCTGCAGCTGCCCTGGGCAGCGGCAGCGGGAGGCGCCTCGATCCCCCACCCCCACCCCGGCCCGCACCTCTCCCGCAGGTCAACTCTCTGGGCAAGTGGAAGACGGCGCTGCAGATGGTCAGCATGAGCCTGCTGCTGGTGCTGCGAAACGCAGACCACCTGTTCCACGACCCCTCGCCGCACTGTGAGCCATGGGAGCCGGGGCTGGGGGTGCCTGGCCGCCTCCCTGCCTTGCCACGGCATGTCTGGCCTGCTTAGCAGCCTGCGGCTGCCTGCGGCTGCCTGCCTGCCTGCCTGCCATGCACCGGCTGCGCCCTGCTCCACCGGCTGCGCCCTGCGCCGATGATCCTCTGCGTTGCCGCTGCGCTTGGCTCCTGCCCCCGCTTGCAGTCATCGAGTGGCACCACTACCTCACCTGGTGCGCCTTCCTCATGCTGTGGCTGGCAACGGGTGAGGCGGCGCCGCCACCGCGCCCACTGCGCTCCTGCTGCGTGTGCCGCTGCGCCTGCTGCCGCCTCGCCCAGCCATGCCGGGTGCAGCCGGTACACCGGGCGCTGGCTGCCGGCGCCGCTCGACCGTGCCGCCCTGCCGTGTCGCACCTTGCCATACACACACATGCATGCATCACCGCCTTCACCTGCATGCACCGCCCTGCAATGGTCGCGCACTCTGGGGTGTAGGCTTGCACCCGGCGGGGTTGAAGTCGGTTGAAGTTGGGAAGCTAGGCTGCTGACAGTTCTGCGTCCCACCACATTTGCCTTTACCTCCCCCATGTTCCATGCAGCCCTGGCCCTGGTCTCCCTTTACAACTACATGGCCAACGTCTGGCACTTCTTCCGGTACCCCGGTCTGGCAAAGCCGCACTGAGCCCGGGGCTCTGCGCGGGCCGGGTAACAGCGGCGACAGCGCCGCAATAGGTGGCACGCGCCGCCATGCCCTCAGCAAGAAAGCCCCTGGCGGCACAGGCGCCCCACCCCCTGTACTGTGACCCGCCTGTATCCTACTCTGCAGTAGTGCGCTGTTTCTTTGCTGCTCCTGTTGCATGCGATACAGCATCCATACCCATGGCCGCCTCTTGCTGTAATGCCAATCGCGCCCGCCTCGCTCAAAAGTACCCTCCACCTGTGGGCTGGCCGCTGTCCTGAAGCAAATGCAGGCGTGCGTGATATGGCTTACATAAAAAGGGAGAGAGGACATGGTGAGAAATGGGCAAGTGAGACGCCACGTAATTTGTCGAGCGCCACGTAATTTGTCAAGCTCAGCCAAGAGGAAATGGAGTCAGGCGGGTGCGGGGAGGTGTATGGCAGTACAGGTCAACTCAGACGGTCAGGTAACTGCCCAGAGCGGCGGCGGCAACGCGCCAGAAGCCAGCAGTTTTGGGCTGCCGCTCAGGGGCTGGGACCTGGCGCCGCCTCGCCGGCCGGCGCCGGCGCCGGCGCAGGCTTCAGCAGCGGCGCCAGCCAGGGGAGCAGGTCGGCAAAGAAGATGGTGAGCGCGCCTGCAAGTGGCATGTGGGGTTGGGAGGCGGCTCACTGGGGCTGCAATGACGCCAGGCGTGCGAAGCTGCAATGGCCAGCCCATTGGGCGGCTGCTCCCCCCACACACATCTCATGCACCCGCCAGCGACCTTGCCGCCGGCCCTGCCAAACACATGCGCATGCAGACACACGCGCACGCACATACACACAACCGCCACGGCAGCGCACCGTTTTGGCAGTGCAGCGCGGCGCCTGTGTCTGGGGCGTACGACACGAAGCGGCTCTTGGCCTTGGTGGCCTCGGGCAGCTGGTCCCAGTACACCTGCAGTACGCCAGCACGTGCACAGCAAGCGGCAGTACGGTGATGGGTTGGGGCGGCCAACCGTCCGGTGCATCAGCCTCGCGGCCCTAGATGGCCCTGGAGGAGACACCTATCCTCCCGCCCCGCCACCCGGCTGCCCTCCCACCCCTCCTCCCCTCCACCTCCTCACCTTCTCCAGCCCCCCAATCAGGTCGTCCTCTGTGCCCTGCACCCCCCACACCGGCACGCTGGTTGCGTTTGCTTGTGCTTGTGTGGGTTTAAAGTCTGGTAAAGCAAGAACTAGCTTGCAACATAGACTCCCCGCCGAAACGGGACGGGAACCGGGCGAAAGCAGAGAAAGCAATAAATCAGGGGTGGAGCAAGGCGACATGCAACGCAAGCAGCTGACAGGGCACGCATCGAAACGTGTGTATGACTGGCAAAGTGGCATGGCGCATTGGGGAGAAACGCAACGGTACGGGAGCATGGGCTGGCCAAACGGCAGTGCGGAACGCTAGGTCACTAGAAAAGCAGGGAAAGGCGCACTATGTATGCAATGAGGGCAGCCCCGGCTCGGGGCCGTTGAGAAAGCAGTGGGAGGGAGGGGGGAGGCCCCGGTGTGGGCGGGCCCCATCGAGGGGGGATGGGGCGCGCAAGCGGCCAGATGGGG